TTCATTTGCAAAAGAACTAGGTCTAAAGTAGGTATTTAAACAACAGTGTTAGTAAAAGGTAATAAAAAATGTAATGAGTGTATGTTAAAATACTCCCACACACTAAATGCTAAATTTTATAAAATATCAAAGTCATGTTATTTAAATTTTAAGACAAATCATTGTACAAGGCAATGTCTGTGTTTTCAAAGTTAATCAGGAAATAGAAGAGTATATAGTACTTGAATGACAGACAAATTCTCTATGAAGGCTGCCAATTAGAGTCTTGTATGGGCGGGCTAAGGCTCCAGGAGTTTTCATTTTACTTCTGTTTCTCTGTTGGAGTTCCTTTCAAGCTGTCAGAGCTTGGGAAGAACCTGGGCTTTGGTTTTTTTTTTTTAAAAATACCTTTCATTTTCCTACATGAAGTCAAGTTTTAAAAATTTAAACATGATAAAACTCCATAGGACATGACATGATTCAGTTAACGATTTGACTGTGTAATGATCCACAACCAATAAGAGATTAAGATAGAAAAGATGGTTATTACTTGTAAAAAAATTACAGTGTTAAGGTATGGATAGCCAAAGAATGTTATCTCTTTCTTAAGATTAGTTGCATTAGGGTTTCTTAAAATTGCTTCAAAGGAAATAGAAGATACTTCATGCTGTGATTTATATTAGGGGATGTTACCAACAGCAATAAAACATAGCAAAAGTTTAAAAATCCTACACATACACCTGTATACAATTATGTAAGATATAATATTTTTATTCACATATATTGTGTATATGCATATATGTGTGTGTGTCTTGTTTAAGACTTCCTAAGCAATTAGTGCCTCTCCTGAATTTTATATGTTCACTCCTTTTAATTTTGTTTTATATTTTATAGACAACAAAGGTAGGTTTTTGTGTTTTTACAGTTGATTGATAATAAACTGTTTTACTTTTGGAACTATATAGCTCCTATGAGAAGGAGGGAGAATAACATCTGTAAAATAGCATTCAGAGCAGGATCTGCCCACTCATCACCCTCTTTCTTCTGTCATCTCTCCTGTCTTCTCTTATTATGTTATACTTCACATTCCCATCCTCTTTTCCCTTGAACCAATAAGCATTTGCACAAGTGTTTTCAGAATATTAGAATCTATTGAGGGACTTTGGTAAGACAAGGCATATGAACAAACAGTTTTTTACAAAATAATTATTCCAAAAGGTTAGTACTGTTGGTATTATTAATAGTAAGAAATGGGATATAATCTGTATCCATTACAGAGGATGGGTTAAACAATGGTACAGACACTTAACTGAATACTATTCTGGTTTTATTTTATTTTATTTATTTATTTTTTTAGGGTTTTTCTTTTGAGACAGTTTCACTGTGTTTCCAGGCTGTAGTGCATGGTGCAATCTCAGCTCACAGCAACCTCCACCTCCCAGGTTCAAGTGATTTTCATGCCTCAACCAATCCAGTAGCTGTGATTACAGGCATACGCCACTGTTCCTGGCTAATTTTTGTATTTTTAGTACAGACGGGGTTTCACCATGTTGACCAGATGGTCTCAAACTCCTGGCCTCAAGTGACAGGACCACTTCTGCCTCCCAACGTGCTAGGATTATAAGTGTGAGTCACTGCGCCTGGCTGAGGGCTTTTTGTTTGTTTTTTTGAGACATGGTCTCACTCTGTTGTCCAGGCTGGAGTGCAGTGGTGTGATCATGGCTCTCCACAATCTTGAACTCGTGGGCTCAAGAGATTCTCCTACCCTAGACTCCGGAGTAGCTAGGACTATGAGTGTGTGCCACTACACCCAGCAATTTTTAAAAATGTTTTTGTAGAGATGGAATCTTGCTATGTTGCCCAGGCTGGTCTTGAACTCCTGGCCTCAAGAGATCCTCCTGCTTCAGCCTCCCACAGTGCTTGGATTCTAAGCATGAGCCACCATGACTAGCCTACTATACAGTTTTATAGGAAACTCTTTTAATGCTAAAAATATGGTAAAAACCAGTGTGTATAATATGCTCCCTTTTGTATACTAAAGGATTAAAATACTAAATTACATTAACATTTTCTTACACTTGCCTAAATATATTAGAAAAGAGAGAAATAAACTAACAAAAATTGTCACTTTTGAGAGCAGATAGGGATGGAATAATAGTGAGATTTCTGGATATATCCTTTTTAAAAACTTTCTGGGCCACATGAATGCATTACCTTCGAATAAAAATGCAGAGTAGCACTCAACAAATGTTTGTTGAATGAATAAATGATTGAATTACTCAGAAGGCTCAAAGCTAGTTAGTAAAGATGACAAATTAAAAGAGCATATTTAATTTCCCTAGCTATTGCCACTGCTCTCCAATTCTTTATTTCCTTAAAACTCAATGGACCCAGTTCTCATTAAAATACACAATTTATTCAAAATCTTACTTGTTCTGAAGTGTTTTTCTACTAGTACTTTATTTGTATTCTTTAAATAGAGTTTCGGCTATCCTAAAGATGATCTCTTGTGTTTGTATTTATTCTTTCTCCAATATCTCATATAAGGCTATGATCATAGCTAATGTTCAATAAATCATCAACCTCCATAAATTCTACTAATGTGTCATATAATGATGCTTATTATAGGACATAAAATTTAGATATCTTTTATCTTCATTCAAATTAATTGAGTCATATCATTTTACAATGATACGAGTCCTGGTGATATGTCATATATTCTGAAATAGTGGCTTTTGGATGCATTCCAGGTTATGATAAATCCCCAAGTTCCTTTAGATGATGAATTTGAATACGTGCAGATAATTAATAGTGCTTTGGTGTGCCTCAATCTTCATACTACTGTTTTGTATCTTCTGTTAGAGCCCATTTGCTTTTATTTTTCTTATTTTTTCTGCAACGGACATTGAGATCTCTCCCCATCACTGGAAGCATCATTCTACTACTCACCATGAACAAAAAACAGCAAAATCCAAAAGCCATATCTAATCTGTTGGCTAGCTACCTTTGCCCAGTTATTAAGATCACTCTCCAGCATAAGTTGTTGTGTTTATATTATGATAGTATTTGTATTTCTATTTAAATTTCTTTATTGCCATCTCCCCTAGAGGTCTTCTTATTATGCTGCTTTAGGATTGAGGCTCAGGAGATCACCCCATAGTAAGGGCTCTTTTCTAATTTCTTGTTGAGAAAATGTCCTTTTATTTTTATCTTTTAAAATTCTGACTCTTACTTTAGAGTGAAGAGACATACAGAAAGTACTTTTGCCATTAATCAGAGCAATGTCAAGCAAGTCAAAGGCCTAATAAATGAGTAAATAATGAGTTTTCCACATTTAAATGTATGTGGAGGCTAATTATATATAATACACTTATTTATTAACAAACTTTATTATTGGAATCATTGTTTATCTCCACCTATTTAAGCTAAAGCCTCTACTAGATATTATTCTGTGAAAAAGTAATAAAACCTGTAATAATAATTTGTTAAATAAATGGAAATGGAGAAATGTTTGGGAGTAGTGCCTAGAAAGAATATGTTTGAAAGCATCCAAAATGCTTTAAGGATGAGACAAAGTTTAAAGAAATTTAAGGATAATTTGAAAGCATGTGACAATAGAAAATATGGAATAACCCTTCTCTATAGTGTAGTCTATAGGTTCATCTGGCTGATTAGATGCATTTGACTGAAAAATGCCGTGGAACTGCAAAAGCGAAGTGTGATTTAGAGGGGACAAATAGGGATTGGATCTTTAATAGAGAACAAAAAGTTGAAGCCCACAAATGTGTTTCATTTAGTTTGCATTGAATTGGTTCCAACTCCTACAAATTAGAGATTCCACATAAGAATCCCATTTTCATCTTCTTTTTACAAAGCACAGGGCAACCCTGGGAAGCTCCCCTTCTGGCAACAACCACTGCAGCTAATTAAAGGCTACCTGCTTTGCATGGGGCATGCTCGACAGAGTTCTGCTTAATGCCTACTTGGCTAATTTTTAAATTTAAGTTACTTGTGTGGGCTCTGTAGACACTTGGCTTTGGAAGTCCTGGCTTAAAAGACTTAATCTTTCATCAGCTTTATGGTATTAGTATCCCTTTCTGTCTGCATTGATGTGGTTTCTGAGTTGAGATAGTAAGTAGTACCCAAACAAGGATAACCATCATTATTACCAGGAGAGCTTATTAAAAATGTGGACTCCAGTCATGACCCTTCCATACCCTTAGGGGGAATCATGAGAAATGTATATTTAACAAATGTCCAAATGATTCTAATGAATCTAGTTTTTAACAGGCTTTGGAAACCACTGAATGGGTATACAGCAGCAGGTACATTTAGTCCATTCTTGAGTGTGAGGAGCTGAGTCTAAGCTGTTTCTAATTTATTCACAATTGTAACTGTAATAGCTTTGGCTCCTTGCCAGTGGTCCTGGGAATCTTGAGTTATCCCATTGGGTCCTGTGGTAATGGATGTTATCTGAATACTGAATGTGAATTTAAAGAATTCTTATTATCATTAAAAATGCCTATCTTCTATGCACCAAAAGCCAAATATCAGAGGAGAGCTATGCAATTGTAATTAAGCATCACTGCCAATTAAGTCCTCATCGTTAAGTATTTTCAAGATGGAGGATAGCTAATCTAAATATTTCAGAAGAGAAAATTGAGACCCAAGGTATTAAATGACTGACTCAGGGTCATACAAATTCAGTAGTAATAGAGAATGTCGGGAACTCCAGTCTTCTGAGCTTTCTTCTTTCACAATGATTCACATCCATGTAGAAAGGATAGATTATGGGACATACATTCTCGGGGACTGGTGTTGTTTAGGGAGAGTTGAATTCAGGGTTAAAGTGATATCGGTTACAAATGCTAAAAATGCATTCTGCCTCTTACCTTTTTCAGGTATAAAAAGGACTCAGGTCTGCAATTTAGCCTGCTTTTCCTAGCTGAAAATATAAATTTAGGACTTTGCATGTTATAGAACAAAACCTATAACAGAATATTATTTTTCTCTGTAAGGGATGAAGCAAATATCTAAATGATTAGGGCCAATTTACAAGAACAAAGGCAACCGTCTTACTAAAATAGAAACACGCTTAGAGGTTAAAAATTGATGGATTACTGTAATGTTCCCTGTGAACCACCAGATGTCACTATTAGAGTCATTATGCATCACCTTAGAGTAAGAGAGACTTTAGCCTCAACAAAAACTAACAATTTTGTGTTCACGTTCACTGTCTATATCTTGCAAAACACGTGTTTCTGTTTTTATAAAGCATATTCCATTATCACAGTTTATAATTGTTGATGTAAAATATATGAAATTAAGGAACAAGAAATAGTGTTCACAACTTGCAAATATGAACTTAGGTGTAATATTTGAGAAAGATAAGTATGTTGTGAAAATCCAGTTCACTCCTAAAAACTAGTACTTTTTAAAACTACCTTTTTTTCCCAGAGTTGGATGTCTAATATAGTATTACATAATAATTATTTCAATTAAATTTAATTCAATTACAATTTAAAAGTCATTGACTAAAATTTGCAGGAGTTTAAATCAATGTTGGAAGAAGTAAATATTTAAAAAGATAGAAAAATTCTTTTTAAAAACCTTAACGTTCTTTGGAAATGAAACACCTATAAGCCCAGAACTTTGGGAGGCTGAGGCGGGCAGATCACAAGATCAGGAGTTCCAGACCAGCCTGGTCAGCATAGTGAAACCCCGTCTCTACTAAAAGTACAAAAATTAGGTGGGCAAGGTGGTGTGTATCTGTAATCCCAGCTACTTGGGAGGCTGAGGCAGGAGAATCGCTGCAACTGGGACTCAAGAGGTAGAGGTTGCAGTGAGCAGAGATTATGGCACTGCACTCCAGCACTCCAGCCTGGCAACAAAGCAAGACTCCATCTCAAATAAATAAATAAATAAATAAAACAAATGAGATAAAATTGCGAAACTATGAAAATAGAATAGAAGGAGAGGGTGTCATTTAAGTTGGCGATTGAAAAATTTGAGTTTTTTTTTTCAGTAGGATGAAGGAGGGAGGGAGGAATATATACAAAAGATATACAATTATGACAGAACATGGTACATTTAGGAAGTTGTGTGATTCTAGAGCAAAGATTATGATGGATAGCAGTAACAGCCTACTCTAGGAAGGTGAATTAGAACTAATTAATGAGTAATTTAAATGGATACACTGCTTTTTTATGTTTGATAATAATTTTAATAATAAATTGATAATAATTTTGAAGAGAAAAGTCATATGATCTAATTACTGTTTTGCAACCACTGGCCACATGATTATAGATAAATGCATGGATTGGAGGTATCAGAGAGTAGAGTTAGTCAGGGAAACCATAGAAGAGGCTCTTGAAATAATGAAAAACCTTGGGTAGGAGAAAAAACGAGGCATAAAATAGAGAAAGTGGATCCCAATGAGAATTACAAGTGTTCCGCAAATTTTGACCTTTTTAAAAGTTTTGCCACCACTATTCTTGGGGAAGTCTTTTTCAGGAAGTTAATTCACTCAGTGGCAGAGTTAGAAAATTTTGTTCAATTAAAAAATGCCAGCTATAGGGCTTCAGTCCTCTAAAGATTGATATGATTATTATTAATAGTATTAAAACGTCTACAGCTCAAAAACATCTAAGGCTATCCTGTAAAGATAGTATTAGAACACTGTAATTCTTATAAACTAGTGATCCCAAATGCTACAAATGAATTTGTACCAGGATTCAAATGTAAACAAGAACATGAAATCTTAGGACAATACACAAATACCTTCTTCCTCAAAATCTGTCTCCAGCTGTCCTGTCACAATGCTTGAAATACCCGTTTCCCAATCCACTAAAGATTTGCTTCTCTTAATTAAGGTATTACATTTCTGGGACTGCATTCATCCATGCAACAAACATTGATTGCCTACCATGTGTCAGGATTCTGCAACTTCTTGGGGATACAAAGAAGAATGAAATGAGATCTCTGAATTCAAGGACCTCGTGGCTTTACAATGGAGCTAGATGTGTAATTTCCATACAACTTGAAGTACACCCCTGTGTCTTTGGGAACATAAAGGAATTTACTAACCTTAAAAGAAGGAGGAAGTAAGAAGAGGGAGCTCAAGAAAAATGATGCTCAAGGTGCCTGAAAAAGTGAGAAAATCCTCAGGGCAAAGATTACGCTGGTAAATTAACTCCCTATAGAATAAGGGGGACATAGGATGCTATTAAAGCGTTAATTAATTTGTTGTTGAAATGAAGAAATTAGTGTGACTATCCCTCCCAGGTTCCCTGACATAGCCCTGGTTTTTACTTATGTTTTTCCTTTCACTGTTAAACATGTGGTAGCTTGGACAATAATTTTATTTGTATGAAAAAGCATATAAAGAAAGTCATAATGAAGACATCTGCGAGTGAATTGTCATCAAGTTCAATAGGGCACGTAGATCCAATGGGCGAGATGTAGTTACAATGGCAGAACAGGCAAGGAGTCAATGGCTAGGAGAGCCGAAAGAAATGAAACGACGATCAAGGTATTACTGCAGGTACTGCTCGTCTGAAACATGATGAAAGTGTTGGCATATTTGTCTTGTAGCATGTGGAGAAAAGGAAGACTTGGGAACTAAGAGAACACAAGGTTTAAGTGGAGAGTGATGGAAAGCATGAAAGGTCTTTTATGTCTTATTAAGAAATATAAAATAACTGCTAATATTTTTTCAGTGTCTACTGTGTTGTAGGCACTGTACGAACCACAGGATAAGAGGTAAACCCGTTAATTCTTACAACAACCACGTGAAGCATATGGTAGTCATTAAGGGTGTTCACTGAATATTTCAGGCTCTCCAACTTCTGAGCACTTAGTGAGATTTCCCTTTTTGGCCTCCTGGTGTTGAGTAGGGTCATGTGACTAGTTATGGCATTAAGTTATAGCATTAAGTTATGACATTAAGATGTATATTATTTTTATATTCATATTACTGATAAACTGATATTCAAGGTTTTAAGTAACTTAATCTAAGGTTGCTAGTTGGCAAGTAGTCAGTGAGTGGTAAGTAGATATTCCAAGATTAGCACCCAGGAAGTCTGAATAGATATAAACCTGTAGACCCTATTGCTATACAATATTGAATCAAAAACACCAATCCTATTTATCCTAAGTTACTCATACTGATGGTATCATTTCTCCATTTCTTCCCATCATTAAATTTAGTCTTTATATCCCCCTTCTCACAGCATAGACACCAAAAAGTTAAAAAAAAAAAAAAACTCTAAGCCAAAAAAATTCTCCTCCAAAAGGAGAAAACAATCTTTATGTGTCTGTTTTATTTACTCAGAAGTAAAGCTTAGACCTCTAACAGATAGGCAAAATGTGATAGGCACACACCATGATCATTATGCAGCAGTTAAAACAGTGAGCAAGCTGTATATCTAAAACCTAAAATGGGTACTAAAAACATGGTAGATTAAAGAAGAAAATAGAAAGTTATCTAACAATATTATTTACGTTAAAATATGTGCTCATAAATCAATATCCACCTACCAAGAACACAATGTAATAAAAAGCTACACATTTGAATGGCTGCTCATTCAGAGAGTGGTAAGAGGGTTTGATAAAAATAAAGTTTTTAAAAAATCGGCCAGCACCAAAGGTTCATGCTTGTAATTCCAGCACTTTTGGGAGGCCAAGGTGGGCAGATTACCTGAGGTCAGGAATTCAAGACTAGCCTGGCCAACATGGTGAAACCCCTATCTCTACTAAAAATGCAAAAATTAGCTTGGCATGGTGGCAGGCACCTGTAATCCCAGCTACTTGGGAAGCAGAGGCAGGAGAATTGCTTGAACCTGGGAGGCAGAGGTTGCAGTGAGCCGAGATTGCAGCCCTGTGCTCCAGCCTGGGTGACAGAATGAGAACCCATCTTAAAAAAACAATCAACAACCAACCAATTCACTAATATAGGGGACTTAAATGTACCAAGGACAGTTATGTTTTGCAAGCTGATAATATGAATGGCTGAACTTTGTTTAAACCTCATGTATAAATACAAAAGCAAAGTCAAACCTCAGAAGAACTAGAGTACCAGTCTTACCCATCACAAGATTTGCTTTCAGACTGCAATCATTTTGGAATATTTTCAAAGGAGCAACTATTTGAAAAAGACAGAATTTCTAAAAAGAACAAGAATCATGTATATACAGAGTAGGGAGTGAAAACTCTTGGCAAATGCATGTTACTTATCCAACTGCTCAAAGTGTCTCAGACCCTCTTTGTCTACTAACAGATCGGACCTTTTGAAAAGCATCAAGAAAACTTTAATTATCCCATACATATATATATATTCTTTCCTTCTGCCTCCATGTGTCATCTAGGTCCATAACTTGGCTTTCTTTAGATATTAATCATTTGTAGTTTATATAGAGGGTTTGTAGGAGTGTGACAAACTTAAACAGTGGGGAATTAAAGTTACCATCAGATGCATCTCAATGGCATTGGGAAGTGTTTTGCTCCAAGGTGACATGAAACTGTGACAGGAGCTGCATCTCAAGCTGTTTGTCCAGCCAGACCTGGAGATTTGGGAGGCTGGTACCTGCTTTTATTTATTCATATGGAGGGTTACTGAATACAGATACCAATGCTGACTGTGAGTTAAAGAGGAGAGAGGATAAGAGCTTAGGCTTAACCTACAGGGGACCTGAGGAATAAAGAGCCCCAGAGTCCAGCGTGGAGAAGAGAGAAGAAAGGGGAGGGAAAAAAAAAAAGACTGAGAGAGATCAGGCCTAATGAACCTTTCCTGAAGTCAATGGAAATGGGGAAGTGGTGCCTCAGAGAGCAAGACCATACCCAGACAAAGCAGGGATAAAGTGGATCAGCCACAGTGTCACCAAATTTATCAAGAGTTTAAAAACTAGCAAATCAAAATCTGCAGGAGGAAGAAATTCTCATGCAAAGCCATAGAGTTTGTTATTATCCAGATGGAGATATGACAGTAAACATGCTACACACACATGTAAGCCCAAACACGCACGCACATACACATTTTTGATGCTTGCTCAGAAAAACCTGAGCATAGATTGCATTACATGAAATAACAGTATTCCATATGGAAAAGGGAATCTAGTTATGTACATTCTTTTTACTTCTATGCCTGAAAAAGCTAAAAATTATGAAATACTTTATGTTATTATAAAGGAGTTAGCAATAAAACCAGCAGCTCATTGATACCTTTCTTTCCTGGAAAGTGCTGAGGAATCAAGTTACAGAAAATGCTGGGCTTAGTAGTTAACTCGGGAGAACAGAAACTGAAGGGAACCTGGGCAATGTAAGTAAAATATCTCGTTATTTACTGTAAGTGTGAAGTAATGGATGCGTTCATCAGGAGCCAGCTAAAACAACCTACTTCCTGTGGCAATTTTGATTATTGGAAATTGCCAACATACCACAAGCAATTTTAATTAGAGGAAGTGTATCTTCTTGTCATATTTGATTTGTAAGCAAATTTTTTTTTACCAATATAGCATTATGACTGAATAAATTAACTTCCAGTTACATTTGTGTAGTAAAAAAAAAAATTGACCATTTGACTCCCCAGACACTTACTCTGCAAAGCATGACTCATTGTGGAAATAAAATGTCTTTTTCCTTCCTTCCTTCTTTTTTTCTCTTTCTTTCTTTTTCTTTCTTTCTTTCTTTTTTAAATAATCTTACTTTCTAAATTGTTTCTCTAAGTCTTTATGCCTGACAAAACATTGAGCAGACCAAGAATGACACCTTTTCTTGTACGAACTGGACATAAAATATTCTCTTTTAGAAACCTCCTAATACCAAAAAGTGTGCTCCAAATACTCACACACAATGTTGCATCATTAAAGCCACATGAAAATCTACTGCAGGACATGGTAATTGTAGCAGGCACAGAAATATAGAGGGTAAGAATGCTTTGTTTTGTTGTTGTAAATGCATTTTAGCAATGTGCCAGGCCTCAGAATACCAGTTTTCACTTTCTGTGCCACAGCACTTTCCTCTAAAGTACTATTTGATTTTTTTTTAAGGTGTTCATTTTTATGAAGCCAGTTCTAAAGTCACCTATACAGTCGCCTATTTTTTACCACTGGTGTAATAATGTTTACTGTTTTATTATGATATTCTGGGTCTTGGCTCACTTCTTAATTGATACTCTCACTTTGGCTATAGTAATATGTTGTACAGTTCAGGGAGTCAGTATTGGTTGGGTAAGTGAGGAAATAAATGAAATGCATTTGATGCTATTTTGGGGACAGCTAATAATCTTTACTAGCAAAAAAAAAGTTAGAGCAATGATCTATCATATTAACTAGATTATTAAGGTTCTGTCATGAAGGTGTCATTCATAAAATATAGTTGTAATTTTAGGGGAAGAGAGCAATATGGAATAGTGGAAAAACCACGGACCATGGAGTCATAAAAAGTCTGTTTAAATTCATGTTTAATTTCTATAACCTCCTGGGCAACTTACAGAACTTCTCTGAGCATTAGGTTCTTCTTCTATAAAATAAGGATAAAAAATCTACCTTGCTGGGTTTTAATGAGAATTGGAAATAATATATGGAAGGTGCTTGGACCTTGCACATAGAAGCCACCAAATTAATGATAGCTATCATCATCACTATTTTTCTTAGCAAATTCTCAACACTGATATATTAATCCATCTTTCCATTTTTAAATTCAGTTATTTCAGATATTATTTAGACATTTAAACAATATTCAGCTACAAAAATGTGTTTGATATCCATTTTCTTAAGATCTAGTTATTTGTTTTAGCCTCCAAATTATAAAGGTCCTTACGATGAATATCAGCCCTATTCTTAACTACCTCTGTACTTTCACTGTATGAATACCATTTTTGTAAATATTAATTGTTATTAATTACAGCTAATAGAGTGATTATTTGTAAAAGGCATAAATGAATAGTTGGGACTTGTTCTAGAGGCACTAGGCATTTCTCTTGCTATATGAGCTATGGATAGAAAGACTTTATTTTCAAAAGTTGGAAGATGGAATAGTATTAAAATATAGAAATTGATTTTAAAGAGCCATTGGAACCCAGGGGTGTACTTAGAAAAAGGCATTGCCTGCATTGCAGGTTATGATGTTCTGACACCTACAAGCATCTGACATAGCTGACTTTTTTAAAAGTGGTGCTTAAAAGTGCTGGTATGGAACATAAGTAGATAATGCAAATATGTTAGCGACCCCTACCAACAGTTGCAATTATGCAAATTTTAAAACCTTCATCTTTTATAATTAGATGTAGTGGACTTGTGTAGTTAAGTTCTCCACTGGCTAGCTCAGATTCTCTAATCTGTTGAACAGCTTTTCCTCTAAAAATAATGCACTTCAAATAGACAAAAATATGCATTCTGCAAATGAATGACAATATTTATGATGAAAAGGAAAGACATCCTGAATAATTGCTAGTGGCAAGTTTCTTGTTTGTGATTTAAGAAATGTGCTTTTGTAAAAACTGAGATTCTCTGACAACAGTTAAGCATATTGTTGAATTGGTCATAGGAGGATGAAATTTTATTTAACATACTCAAACTCTCCAGAAATAAAAAATCTTGACTTGAGTGCTAGAAGGGAGGAAGGCTGCCTATAGTAAGATGCATATAGAAACTAAAATTATCCTTATTAGGTAGATAATTTGCTTGTAGTTAATTACTATTGAATACTTGAATTTCATTATCCATAGCACTGAGTATATAGAACACATAATATCATTATCAGCACATCTCACAACTATATGAAATACAGTTTTCAGTAGAATTATACATGTGTTTTATATATATAAATTATACATACACTTGAACAACTTATATTAAAATTTACATATAATTATAAATATATAAAATTGTATATACATATGACATATTTATAAGCAAATACACAAAACATTTTGTTTCATTACAGTAAAGACTCAACGTATATGTTGGTATATCTAAGCTTTGAATTAAAAGGTTATAATAATTTAAATAAGTTAAAATCTGAGGGATTAATTTTATTTTAGTAATAGGCCTAGTATATTGGTAAACTACACTCTAGATAAGTTACGTATGCTATGTTAATTTTCTAATTAAATGTCAGGCTATATTTAAGGACATAAAGGTCATTTAGCAGGAGGAAAAGGAAAAATACAACAATCCAATTTAAGCTTATTTTCCTATAAATGAATCAACTGTTGAGAGGATAGGGAAAAACAGATACTATGATTTTTCTAGGAAGAAAAATATTCAGTGCAAATCATCCTGAGACATGTAGGCCTGAAGTAAATTCTAGATAGTGGCTTTAGAAATAGGGCTTGTATTTTATTGTCTAAATATTCTTCCTTAAGCATTTTATCTACTTACTAGCTTGCCAGGGATTAATGAAGATGATGCAATTTGACTGATGTAATCATAATCAGCTGCTAGTTCAAATAATAAAGGCCTAGAGATAATAAAAAGACTTGAAATTTAGATTTGATCAGTTTCTATTTCAATGGTTCTCAAAACAGTGAATTCACACTTTTTTCTTTGAAACACCAGTAATTTCTACCCATTTAAAAATAGATATAAAAATAAACTTCTCAATATAAATTAACTTCATTGTTATATTAGAATGTGCACACCATAGTCATTCACCATCTTTGATAAAAATTACTTCAAAACATTGTTTTTTTTGGCTTTACTCTTAGATTCAGTACAGAATCCATCTGTTCTAAATACCTCTTTCCATGATGTGAATGGATTAACCACATTTTAGTAGAGAAAAAGTGCACTAATTTGCAACAAAGTAAACGAAACAATTGACTAGTAAACAATAATTATTTTGAATACCTTTTTTCCTTCATATTTCAGTATTTCAGTTTACTAATTTGAAATTAGGACAAAATAACCTATACTTACTTCTTCTGCATGTCATTTGGCATAAGGAAGGAATATTAGGTTTTGAAAACAATGCAAAACACAAAACAGAAGAACCAGATCATCAACACAAGGTGGCACTGTGGACCAGTCTCTTAGGAGTAAGTTTGTGTTTAAGCATTTTCTGTCTTATTTCTCCAAGACTGATGATTTATATAATTCAGCTTTCTTAATTTTGCTTTTAGGTTTTTTTTTTTTTTTTTTTTTTTTTTTTTTTTACAAATCTAGTAATGAGATAGCGAATGGAATTATTTTCTTAATTTAAAGAAAATGCAAATTTGGAGCTCACAGTGGGTATTTTTATATTAGTAGTAATAACAAATAAAACCCCTAGGTACTGTACCATATTGACAATTTAATACATATATGGTTACCACTTTTCTCCAAGAAGGACACCTTGTTATATTCTTTCATCATATCATGAACAGATTCCTCTCCTCTACTGACATAGCTAACTCCCTATTATGATTTACCTAGAATCTGATTTATTGCTGCTTTAGTTTCTCATACACACGATTTAAAGAATATGAATATTTTTACTTATAGGCCATTTTCATGTTGCCATTATTTTGATCAAGCATTTTCTTTCAATCAGGTATATTCCGTGGATATCTTGTTATGTATTAGTTTAAATGTAAATTCTTACAATACTTAACTCCAACCTCATCTTAATTTCAAGGCACTGGTGTGCATGCAGTCATATGCACACATACAACACACAGCTACCATTTTTCATTTGTCTACCCAGGAGAGTCCCATTACCTTTATTCTTTAAAAATATTATGAGAATTCCTGTCAGTTATAAGACCTTTTTCCTAACACTCATTATGTCATTCCCCAAACCCAGGCCATTGTTCACTGGTGTAAATCATTTTCTTTTTATTTATTTATTAGACTTTATGTTCTGGGGTACATGAAGAGAACATGCAGGTTTGTTACATAGGTATACACATGCCATGGTGGTGTTTTGCTGCATCCATTGCCCCGTCATCTACTTAGGTATTTATCCTAATGCTGTCCCTCCCCAATCCTCCCATCCCCTGCTATTCCTCCCCTAGCCCCTCACCTATCAGGCCCCAGTGTGTGATGTTTCCCTCCCCGTGTCCAGGTGTTTTCATTGCTCAACACCCACTTATGAGTGAGAACATACAGTGTTTGGTTTTCTGTTCTTGTGTCAGTTTGCCAAGAGTGATGGTTTCCTGTTTCATCCATGTCCCTGTAAAAGACATGAACTCATCATTCTTTATGGCTGCATAGTATTCCATGGTGTATATGTGCCACATTTTCTTTATCCAGTCTATCACTGATGGGCATTTGGGTTGGTTCGAAGTATTTGCTATTGTGAACAGTGCCACAGTAAACAGGCGTGTGAATACAGCCAACAAACATATAAAATAAAGCTCATCATCACTTGTCATTAGAGAATTTCTTTACATCTCTCTACAAGGTCCATCTTTTTGATTAAGACTAAACTCATATTCCACCAGCATATGAGCCTACATTTTATGGCACATTTATAAAAACTGCACTTACGTGATTAAATAATTATAGGCTTCTTTACAAGCCATGATCTCCAATTGATGAGACCTCTTCTTCTTCCCTCAAGAATATTTTGTGTCTTCCAATCATTTCAAGCATGTGGTATAATACATTTACTTAATACTTGACACAAGTTCAGGAAATAAATGCATGAGCCCAATTTTTTGAACAGCATAATACTGTTAATACTGACACACATACCACATACACAAACGTACACATATATGATATATATGCAAAAAATTAAAATAAATACTTATAAACTGACGTGAATAAAAGTACACTTACAAGATGCAAGTTTCAAAGGTAAGTATGTTTAAAGGCAGAGCATAAGAGTCAGTATTGTCATTTAACAGTATTCAGCAAAATGCAGAATTAGTTAGAGATCTAGTGCAATGAGCCTCCTAATTTCATTTCTGCTGTTCAAACAATGAGGATAGCAACTACAGATAATAGTTCAACTAGTAAATGCAGAATATTTAAGAAAATAGACACTCAAATTTATATAAAACAAACTGCATAATTAGCACATATACAAATTAAAAGTTTTGGATATAAACTTTTACTACTACACAGGCTCATAAATCAGATGTCCATGAATAGGGTTTCTTTCAAAAATTTAATTACAAAATTAACGGCACGTATTTCAGAAAATTATTTTTTAAGATAGGAACATTTTCTACTCTCATATTCCATGAAATAATTTTATTTAAATGCTTAGTAGGCATCATTGAGATTTCTTTTTTATCAATTGAGTCATATCTTTGTCATCTGGAAAGATTTCCAAGGAAGATTTACCTTCACTTTTAGATCTACTATACAGAGTTTTTGAATCAGTATATGATACTGTCACTTGAATTTTTGTCTCAAGTTATAAGTACCCATTTTCATAATACTAGGAAGGTTTCAGAAAGTTTTATTGTTGTAGATGTTACTTCCGTCTGTTTTTTCAGCAATGTATTTTAATAATCTATGATCTCAACGATGTAATCAGTCACTATCATGCTTTTTTTTTTTTTTTTTTCTGAGACTGAATCTTGTTCTGTTGTCAGGCTAGAGTGCAGTGGCGTGATTTCAGCTCACTGCAACCTCTGCCTCCCAGGTTTAAGTGACTCTCCTGCTTCAGCCTTCCAAGTAGCTGGGACTACAGGTGTGTGCCACCATGCCCAGCTAAATTTGTCATCTTGCTTTTTAAAGTGATATGTAATCTGTTAATAACACAACCAATAGGCTTTAGTACCAGGTATAAAGAATAAACCTGTATTTGACACCTTTAAAAAAAATTAGAGAGATTATAGGTAACTTCTAATAATTCAAAACTAACATTGGTGACAATGATTTCTGGCTTGTTTGCCTTCTCCAAACAGACTTGACAAGACTCAATTATAAGATGTGTTTCTCTCTTCTTAGAGAAAATTTTTGGAAAAAATTACATTCCAAAAGTAACAACATGCAATTTATGTTGGCTTAAATTGGAGTTAAGTTGAATATTAGATGTTACATAGATAGTATACAGAGCAGATATGCTATTTATTTGCAAAAACCTCAAAATATGAAAATGGGTGGGGCTATACATGTAGACAAAGAAATTGAGCTACTAGTATAATAGTCATTCCATACACTTACTCTGGAATCAGCTAGCCTGGGTTTGAATCCCACCTCTACTCTTTACTGCTATGTGATCTTGAGCAAATTGCTACTTGCTCTGACCCTCAGAGCAAGTAACACCTCTTTGATAGAGTTATTTTAAGGGTCATATAAGCTGATTTTGCAAAACACCTAGCTATTGGCTAATGTCTGGTTCATAGTGAATGCTACAAAAGTGCATCTTAAAATGAACAACAACAACAAAAAAAACCCAAACTAATAAACAGACGATGAGGTAATCTCTTTTTGTACATGTTTTTTTGTTTCTTTTTTTCTAATTCTGCCTAGTAGAAAAAGTGTCTGACTGTGAGACTGTTACAGAATGATCTTCCTTAATTTTACAAGCCCTGCATTATCACTTTGTGTATTTTAGATATTGTTCTTTTTCATGTATTAATTTCTAAAACTTTTACATTTTTTAGTCACATGGCCATTTTCCTAATGTGGCTTTATATTGAGTTTGCTTTTTGGAGTAGTTTATCTTTTTCTCATTGTCCACTTAAAGTGGTAAGTTTCTCACATTAAATTCTCACATGTAGCTTAATTGAAAAAGCACATCACTTTGTCATGTTTTGAACTATTTAACAATTTAATAAATGTTAATTTAAATATTTTTAAATTGAATGAATGCATAATTCTGATTCTCTTTAACTTAATCGTTAACTTAGAATATTTTAAAATCTGCTTAAATTCATTTTAAGGCTAGTTTTAAATTTTTTGGAAAAATATTAAACTTTATTATACTTAATGTTATACCACATTCCTAGGGACTTTTATTTTATAGTATTCATACTAATTATCTATTGCCGTATTATAAATTACCACAAACTTACAAGCTTGAAACAACACTTATTTGTTAGCTTATGGTTCTTTTTTGGTTAGGAAATCTTATTTTGTCTATTTGGATTTTACAAATATGATGTTATGTAATACATATAGATAGTAAAATGATTATTATAGTGAAGCAGATAAATGTATCTGTCATCTCATGTATTTATCTTTTTTGTTTTAAGAGCAGCTAAAATCTACTTATTTAACAAAAATCCCTGATATAATACTTTAGTCCTTGCGTTCTACATTAGATTTACAGACTTGTTCATCCTACATATCTTCCTTTTGTTATCCTTTACCCAACATTTTCCCATTTCTTCCCCAGTGCTCTTCCCACTGCACAGCAATCACTGTTTCATTTTCTCTATGTAAATGGTCTTTAAAAATATACATATTCCACATATAAGTAAGATCATACAATATTTTTATTTCTGTGTCTTGCTTATTTCACTTACCATAATGTCTTCCAGACCCATCTATGTTGTGACAAATAGCAGGATCTCCCTCTTTTTAAGATTGAGCAATATTCCTTTGTGTATGTATATACCATATTTTCTTTAGCCATTCCTCCATCGATGGCCACCTGGCAGTTGTGAATGATGCTGCACTGAACATGGGAGTGCAGATGTCTTTATGAGATGACAATTTCATATACATTGTGCATATACCCAGAAGACAACTTGATGGATTGTATGCTAGTTCTACTTTTAATTTCTTTAGGAACCTGCAAACTAGCTGTAAGAATCTACATTCCCACAACAGTGTACTTGGGTTCCTTTTTCTCCACACCCTTGCCAACATTTGTGTTCTCTTGTCATTTTCTATTTTTTAAATATGGGGTTCTCACTCTTTCATCCGGGCTGGAGTGCCGTGGCTTTATTATATCTCATCTCAGCCTGAATTCCTAGGCTCAAGAGATCCTCTTGCCTCAATCTCTTGAGTTGCTTGGAACACAAACATGAGCTATTGTGTACAGCCTTACTTGTCTTTTTGATAATAGCCAAAGGTATTTCATAGTGGTTTTCATTTGCATTTCTCGGATAAATAGTGATATTGAGCACCTTTCCATATACCTGTTGACCATTTTTATATTTTCCTTGGGGAAATGTCTGTTCAGATTCTTTGCCCGTTTTTTTTCTACTATTGAGTTGTTTTTCTGCTATTGGATTATAAGAATTCTTTATAAATTTTAGTTATTAACCCGTTATTAGATATGTGGTTTGCAAATATTTTTCCCAGTTGTAAGCTACATTTTTATTTTGTTGTTTCTTTTGCTTGCAGAAGCTTTTTAGTTCGATGTAGTCCCATTTATTTATTTTTGCTTATGTGCCATGGGTTTTTGGTGGGAAATTCAAAAAATCCTTGCCAAAGCTAATGTTCAGTTTTTTCCAATGTTCTTTTCTAGGAATTTTATTGTTTCTCATCTTAATTTAGGTCTTTTATCCATTTTCAGTTGATTTTTGTGTATGGTATAAGACAAGGGTTTTATTCTATCCTTTTGCATGTGGAAATCCAGTTTTCCCAGCACCATTTATGAAATGAAGGGGGTTTCACCCATTGTTTTCTCTTGGTGCCCTTGTTGAAAATTACTTGACCATATATGTTTAGACGTATTTCTTGGCTCTTTATTTTGTTCCATAGGTCTATGTTTCTATATAATGCCAGTACCATACTGTTTTGGTTATTTTAGTTTTGTAATAAAATTTTAAATCACAAAGTATGATGCGTTCACCTTTGTCTTTCTTTCTCAGTATTGCTTTGGCTATTCTGTTTTTTTTGGTTTTTTGTTTTTTTAATTTTTGTGGTTTCAGGTGAATTTCCTTTTTTTTTTTTTTTTTTTTTTCTATTTCTGTAAAGAATGCCATTGGCATTTTGATAGAGATTGTGTTAAATCTACATATTGGTTTGAGTAGCATGGGCATTTCAACAATATTAATTATTTTCACCAATCAACTCAGAATATATTTCCATCTATTTGTATCTTCTTTAATGTTTTATATTAATGTTTTACAGTTTTTAGTGTACGAATGTTTCATTGCCTTAAATTTATTCCAAGGTAATTTTGTATGCTATGGTAAATGTGATTGTTTTTCTGAATATTTTTTCAGCTAAATCATTATCTGTGTCTACAAATGCTACAGAGTTTTTAGGGGAATTTTAAGTGCAACATTTTCCTGTTAATTATCAAGGGCATTTTTAATGTAAAAAAAATTTACTTTTTCGTGTTTAAGTGAAATTGTACATACTTTTGAAAAATGTGATTTATTGTGACATGAAATTCATACTGAGAATCTTGATGCTCTGTTACAGTCTAAAACTCACCAAATTTATTTTTTAAATATTTAAAATGGTAAAACAGGTTTGAGTTGAAGAAAAAAAATTATTTAGAGCCATTACTGTGGTTCAACATATCCTTGTTAAAATATTGCCATATGGAAATTAAATAATGTTCCTTTTTTGATGTAACAAAAACTTGTTTTTTTGTCTGTGTTATAATCACTGCTATCCTTTTCAAATAAACAACTAATCAGGACAACATGTACTTCAAACACTCAGATAAATCAGATCACCTTTGCTTAGCTCCATTTTGATCTAACATTCTTATTACTAGCTCTTCCAGAGCACTCCACAATAAAGCATTGACTCTGCTATTTCTATTGGTCTTTTGTTCATAGTGTTTTCTGGATCCCACATATTGTTAAAAACAACAACAACAACAACAACAATAATGGCACTTTAGGTTTATTATCTGCCAATAAGCATACATGTCAAACAACAGTGATATTCTCCTCTGACATGCTTAGATTCAAGTTGTTTGATATGGTTTACAATAAAGTCACTAAATATTTAATCTTGGATTATATTTGTAAATGGCTATTCAAGTGACAAGAACCTTCAATAAATGAAACCAATGAATCTGTGATCCAGTCTTCTAGTTCTTTTTCAAGCAACTCAAAGTGTTTACTTTGTCTATCATTACTTAGATGCTAAAAATTTTCTTTTAGTCTACGCCTTTGTTACAGGATAAGTAGCCATACTCCTAGAGAAACAAACAGTATTGCATCAGGGCAATAGAGTGTCCTCACCTGAAGTCAATCAGGACTCCTAAGATACTGAGGTATTTAGTGGTTCATACTGTATGAAGTTGCTGAAAGGGAGCAAGAATGTGTCCTGAATCCTGATAATGCAGCTAACTGCTAGGCTGCTACTACTTTGGCCTGTCTTTCTAGGCCGTCTCCTTAGATGGGCCAATTTACCCACAGGGATGAATAGATGTCTAGCTAACAACTGTTCTTGTATCTAACTCAGTCATAATTAAACCCTTAATGGCAATCATGAAAATCTCCTTATCATTGGTTAGGTAATTGCAGACACAGAGAATGACAGCTTAACTATAATTGTAGGCCTTGTTGCCAGCTGAATATTGAAATGTGTTAGTATTGTGATTACTTAATGTCCCAATGTGGCTTGTAGCCAATGCTTAAAGTACACTCTAGAAAACTATAACAAAAAGCATAAACAAAGCTTAATTCTCTAATAGCATCTTAATTCTGCTTATACTGAGAATATATAAGCTTTGCTATTCTGAAATTAAACCATGATATGGGGTACCTCCCTATATAGATTAAATCTGAAATGAAGAGCATGCTATAAGGGCCACCTATCAGAGAATGAAATCATCTGGTTAGATATTCTGGCTCTTTCCTTTGTAAGTAACTTTCATTATAGTCCCTTTTCTTCTTAACTTGTTAAGAGGTGTGTCAGTTAACTATTCTTGCTTAGGAAAACATCCCAAAATTCAGTGGCTGGATGCAGTGATTGGATTGCGTGTTCTTTCTTGGAAAGAGGCATTTGTGTGTTATGTATTTTGAGAAAATAAAAGAGATAATATTTCACGGCTAAAATGTCTGGCTGTGGCATAAATGGTTAGTGCTTATCACTAAGTGTGTTCTCTGTTTCAAGTACATCACTAGCTTATATTTCTCAGATTCCTTTACAGTTATGAAGAACTACATAACTAAGGCCAAAGGAAAGTGAGTAGAAATGATATGTTACCTCCAGATTTAGGTGGTTAAGAGTGATTGTACCTTTTCCCTCATTTTATTTCTTATTCATACTATTAACTGCAGAAAAAAATAAATGAGGTTCCAGGAGATGTTGAATCCATAGGAAACAAAGATCCTGAGTCTTTTGCTAATAGCATGGACAGAACCCCACCCCTCTAACTGCCACCCTCCGCCAGTCCAATTCAATGGTGACATAGGGAAGAAATTATCTTTTATTGTAGTAAGACACTGATAATCTGGAATGTTTTATTTCAGCAGTTTTCACATCTTACATAAGTGATATTTAGAGCTTATAAGCCGATTTTAAAAGTTATTTTTTACATTTAAGTGGATATCTATAATATTATGAATGTTTCTACAAGATTAGATTTCATTTTAACCAAATTATTTTGCATTAAATCCATGTTGTAGTATATTAATTGTTACGTTTGTTTTACAACTTGATTTTTCTTTGTCAGTGATTTAAGACTTCTTTCCTACTGGGTTAATTTCTGTATACTGAAGTTCCATTTACAATATCACAAGAATGGTGGGGTTATGTTACTAAAAAGTAAATTAACCAAATCTTGAATTGTACTTTTATATGCCTAGTACACAGTACATTCCACTCGTAATTAAGTAATCTATTTATATGGCAACATAATTTTTTGAAATGCATAATAATTTCTATTCATTGCTGTGAGTATATCTTTACCTAGAAAAGGAATGCTAAAATGGGAAGAAGAGTGGTTGTTAAACTGAGATGTTATTGCTAAGTATCCTTTGGGCATACAAAAATTATTTTTAATAACAGATGCTCATTGAATTCACAATTGGAATAGTGGTCATTGACCATTCTAATGCCTATGTAATACAACCTCTTCATTATTCAAATAGGAAACTGAGCCTTAGAGCAGTGAATTAATTTTCCGAAGTTCACAGAGGTAGAAAATCCAGAGCCAGGCCTAGAAGCCAGATCTCCTAATTTCTAACCCACTGTTCTTCCCACCACAACAAATTTCAATCTGCTCTATATATACTTCTGAGAAACTTAGAAATTGTGGGTTTTGTGAGTTATGATGTCTATTAGAAAATAGTATTATAATTTTCCACTTAAATTAATGTAAATATTTAATGTAAATATAATAAAAATTCCAAAGGCGTAATTTTAGAATCTGATAAATTTTATTAGAAAGACTAAATAGACATTAATAGGAAAATGGAGAAAAAGAAGACTAAGGATAAGGTATTTGCCATACAAAAATTTTAACCTTATTGTAAAGTTACATAATTAAAATAAAGTGGCAATAGTATTATCACAAACATCGGGTCAATGAGATAGAATCAAATAGTCTAAAAGTGGACCCTGCAAATGAGTTTGTATATTGCATGGGAAGGTAGTATAAATCAGACAAAATAAACAATCTGTGATGATCATCCATTTTTTATGAACAAAGCTGCCCAACATCTAGGCACTTCTTTTCCAGGCAAAATATTATACTAAGGGGGAGAAAATAAATTTTGCCAAGTCTCGTGGCAAAAATTCAAAGCCTCTTTGTTTAGAAGCAGTGACAGTTATGCTCTTAGATTCTGTTAGAGGGCAGGAAAAACTTTGGATTCACTATATAAAAAAATCAGTAATTTTGGTGAGTTACCACAGACCTACCATTTCCACTTTCATAAAGGTTTTATAAGAGGATCAGAATACCTCCTTCCCCATCTCCAAAGAATTGCTGAGAAATAAAAGAACAAGAAAGACTACTTAAAAGTTCTTCCATAGGCATTCTGAAAATTAGGTCTTACAGCAAGTATAACAGCCCAGAGAGGGATTCATCCTTAATTTGAGCAAGTCCTAAAACAAATAGATATAATAAGCTCATAAGGAAATGGAGAAATGACAGTAGAAATAGCTACAGCTTTTAGAATATAGACACTAACTCCTATTTAGAAAAATAACATAAAGAACAAAGAATTTGGAAAAATACTTGCCAACAGTGCAGGTTAATATGCAAAATAAAGCATTAATGTACAAAAACTTCATATAAAATCAATAAGAAAAACAAAAAGCCCACTAGGTAAGTGGAGAAAGGATAAGAATAAGAAATTCACAGATGAGTAATAATGAATATTCTAATATGTTACAGTAGATAATGCAAATATTTACAAAATTTATATCAAATTTTTATAATACAAGTTTTTAAATGTTAAGACATTTAACTCATTCGTCATCTTTTTCCTAGAGTAAAATTTTTTTAAAGAAAAAAAAATTTACGTCAGAATATTATTGTTAAAACTGAAGTTTTTAGCTGATTCACATTGAATTCAACCTGATTTAATCAATGTAGGGGAAATGTCAAATAACTTGCAATGGAATATTATTAATATGTAACTCTTAAAATAAGGATTGGAAAGATTATTTTTAATAATCTTGATTTGGTGGACCAGTACAGAAAGTGTTGATATTTATTAAATAATAGCACAGGTAAATGTAAAAAATATAATGTACCAATATGTCAATTCCATAAATATATATATATATACATAAAAGGGAATGAAAGAAAATATCTACCAAACATAAAAGAATCAATATTACTGAATACTGTATTATGAGTA